TCTCCAACACCACAGTTCAAAAGCATCAATTGTTCAGCACTCATCTTTTTTCATAGTCCAACTCTCACATCCATACATGACCACTGGAAAAACCATAGCCTTGACTAGACGGACCTTTGTTGGCAAAGTAATGTCTCTGCTTTTTAATATGCTGTCTAGGTTGCTCATAACTTTCCTGAGGGGATTAGCCCATTATTTTTAGGATTATGGGCATTGGTGACTATTGAAAAGTAAACAAGTACAGAGACAAAATAAAAACTAGAATAAATCCTGTGGTGCTGGACTGGAATCAAAAGTATTCGTCTGAACTGATGGTTTTCAATACACATTTAAGTAGAGAAATACAGATTCAAGTATGTATATATACATATATCCCTATGCTTCATCCACTGAGGGGGCCAGGGAACAGGCACCCAATAGCAATGAGCACCCTTAGCTTGGTTTCTAAACACCCTGCTCTTCTAAATGAAACTAGAACTCCTTGGGGAGACATGGCTGGTTCAGACTGAGACAGAGAAGGTACATGATGAGCCTGGAACAACTTGTGCTTGAAGTGCTGGAATGGTAGTTCATTCATCCTTTGAAATGAAGAATAGATATACTAAATGATTCCCTTCGGCATCTCTGAAGCATTTACAACAGAAACAGTTTTTTTATTCCATCTTCCCAGCTCCTGTCTTGTGCTCTGCACCTTAAAAAGTGGAGTCTTTGCCTCTTTTTGCACATGACAAAGGGTCACAGAAGCACGTGAAGGGGCTCCCAAAGGCCAAATCTGGGACAATGTGCATAAAAATCACAAAGTATCAAAGTGATAGCAATATATAATAAGCACTGAGTAAAACAGAAACCCATGAATCTGTAAGTAAATGAATAGAGAAAAGGAAGCCTTCCTTAAGCAGAATGCCAACCAGAAAAGTGTAGGAAGGATGTGGGATTCAAACACACTACCTGGCTACCATCATGACAGAAATTTAGCTAAGAAACAGCAACAGATGCTTAAACAATGGGGTAAAGTTTAAAGAGGAATGGGATATTTAGTCTCAAAGCACCTTACAAAATACTCCTTAGGAAATTTTCAGTGGAGAAACCCAGCAGGCACCACTTCAGTTAAGTGATAGAAGTTAACATCAACAATTTAAGATACTTTAAAATCACATACCACAACAGCAACACTTCTGATATTCCTGCCAACAATACGTAACTAAAACCAAATCATGAGGAAGGCATCAACAAACCCAATTTGAGGGCAGTCTGCAAAGGCTTTAATCTTCAAATGTCAAGGTCATGAAAACAAACTTCAAGGATTGTTCCAGGCTGAAGGAAACCAAGACATGACTACTAAATGCAACACAATGGCTTTTCTCTTTTTTGATGATAAAGGATATTATTGGGAAAACTTGGTTATCTGAGGCTGGCAGTGTTTCCATGTTAATTTCTACTTCTGATGGATATATTTGGTGATGCAGGAGAATATCTTCAGTTACAGGAACTACACATTATAAAATAGTATATGAGATACACGTAGTGTTGGGACATCATCCTTCAACTTACTCTTAAAAACGATTCAGGGCAGAATTTCCTGGTGGTCTGGTGGTTAAGACTGTGCTTCCACTGAAGGGGGCCTGGGTTTGATCCCCAGTCAGGGAACTAGATTCCACGTGTTGCAACTAAAAAAGATCCTACGTACTGCAATGAAGACGGAAGATCCTGTGTGCCACAACTAAGGCCCAGAGCAGCCAAATAAATAAATACTTTCTTTAAAAAAGAAGAAAAAAATCAATCAAGGGGGTGGGAGAGGGTAGCAATCACATTAAAAAAGTAACAGGGATGGAAGGATCACATTCAGAAGTGAAACGCCTAAAATTCTCCCAATTTCTTTTGCGTCAAAAATGTAAGAGCACAAACACACACACACAAAAACAATTTGCTAAAAGTGAAGATCTTTTTAATGTTTTTAGACACAGGTTACTTAAGATGGGGGCAGGGCGTGGGGGGAGAACAGTACTTAAAATTCCAAGGAACTAAGGTTAAGCAGAGACCACAACCAAATACTTAACAGGGACACCCTATATTGATGCTGTTTTTCTGAGTCAGGAGAACATCCAAAGACAGTAAATTCTTCCCAGTTTGCTTCCTTGATGATCACTGAGTGAGACTCTTATTCATCTTTCCATGCATCAACTGCTTAGTCCATATATCTGAATCCTCAGATAATTTAATGCAACTCAGTCATTCACTTTATCATATAATACTTTCACATGGACATAAATTCCTGATTCCCATGAATAACATTTCAATTATTAAGTTACAAAATGGCAAGAAAGATTCGTTGAGATCTCCACAAAAGAAAAAAACTTGAGAAAAGTATATCACAGGGCTTCACAAATATGAAGCAAAACAGTTAGAATCTTGATATAAAATAATTCTTCCCAGGTTCAAATCTGTTTTGAATCCTTGAATGGTTCAATAACAAGAAGACACCATTTGTGAATGTTCATTTTAAAAAGCCCAACGAGCCTATGATTCAGGAGCAGGTGGTGCCTGCATCTCAGCTGGTGCTAGACACAAGAGGCTTGCGATACTTGCACTGAATCCAAACTCGGTACATTGTCAGTTGTTTTCCTCGATTCACTTGCAACCGGCGATCCACCAGGTTCTGAACCTTTTCCAGTCCAGCAGTAGTGAAAAGTGTGTCCAGTTCATCTAGTTTGGAAAGAGATGTTTATATATTTTCCCCTGAAGAAGCACCGTGTCTACCACTTCCCATGCTAAATGGTACTCTGTGAGACTGCTCTCCTTCCTCATAGACTTTAAGTGGTTTGGGCAGTATGGTTTAGCTACAATTGCAATAGTGGCTTCGTAGCAGCAAGTCCTCGCTTAGGCAGACGAAGGCAAACCACATGTGAAAGGTGGCCTGGAATGCACCGGGAGAGCCTTTCTAAGAGTCAGCTGATAGGAAAGAATTTTCTAGGGTTCTATGTACATCTTACAATCATATGCAAAAATTGACATGGTATGTCAAAGCCATTTCTTTTTTTTTTTTTAAGGGGAGAGGTTTCATCACTCACTAAAGGCTCAGAAAAGTATGTGACCTGACAGAAGGCCCAGGGAGAAAGTATCCATAAGGCACTGGTGAAGGTGAAAACTGGCAGCAGGACAAGCAGCAGAGGAAAGCAGCTCTGAGTTACACCTGGAACCCAGGGAGCCATGGGTTCACTTAAACTCAGGTGCACCTAAGGTACAACCCAGCTTTGAAGCTGAAACAGCTACAGTGCAGTCTTGCAAAATGAGCATGTGTCCTGTTTTGGATAAAGTGATGGAGAGAAAGAGCAGGCAGCAGAAGAACGAGGCAGGGACCAAAGGCTCATATAAGCTGAGCCTACTGGGAGAACATTGAGTAGCTCTAGGTGGCTGGAGGTAGGCTGAGGGGTGGGGAAGGGCAGGGAAGAGGCTGCAAAAGGTTGGAGGGACCAGATGATGTCACTTCTGAAAGCACACTGAGGAATATGGAAGTTAGTCCTGGGGGAGCTGTCAGCACAAAGACAAGTGCTTTTGTGTCGTACCTTGTGTGAAGAAGTACACTCTGGTGCCATCGCCTCTCACATAGAAATTTTCAGACAGACATTGACCTGCAGAGTGATGTGGTAAAGACCAGAGAAACTTTAAAGCACTTCTGTGAATTTCATGGTCAATTAAATGTGCATCAAGATGTCAATTTCTTGGGCAGAGAACAGATCCTTTTCTAAGCTACCCTGGTACTTTGCAGCAATCTGCAGTCTCTCTCCTACAAAGGAATGATGCTTTGGAGAAGAACAGCTCCAGGGGAATAATCAAACTTCAGTGTCAGTGAACACATGTAATTCTCAGCCCCCAATTTTACAGTTCTGCTCAGGATGAAAATAGCTTGTTTTCTCCCTCCCTCCCCCATTAAATAAATAACACATACACTTTGTTTAAAAACAAAAGCAAACTTTTAAGTGGCTTTCTGCCCCTTTAAAAACACATAGTAAAAATTCAAGGAATATAGCTAAATTTAAGGAAATCTGAGACAGCCACTATTCCCATTTCAGTGACTGTCCTTTTGCATGTCTCTCCACAGTGTCCACATGCACACTCATAAATTGGATCCCATACATATTGTTTTTATCAAGGACACACTTCCCTTTCTGCTGCTAAGGCCCCCTGACCTTCTCAGTTTAACAACCTGATGTGTAATCAATCCTTCTACACCTTCTGAATGTCAAAGTAATCTTATTTTTCCCTAGCTACTGTTAAACACAGGATTAAGTGTAAAATGCCAACCCGCACAATGCTTTTCTCACTTGGTCACACAGCCAAGTCCACCCCCACGAGACCAGTGGTACGGGGTCCACCCCGTGAGATAAAACGCATTACCCTATGCAGAGGCAGTCCCTTTGTTTCCAAGGGTTTGCTTATTACACACGTACTATGTGCTCGTTCCTGAATAAATCCCCAAAGGATTGCTGGATAGAATAGATAACACCAAGGTGCTTTAGAAAAAAAAGGCTGCAACTATTCCTATTTCTGCCTTTCATAGAGGAACATCACTCTCTCTGAGTCAGCCAGCAACAGGTGTCTCATTGCTGTTTCCATTTTCTTCAAGTTTTGTTTTCGGCCATTTGGATACACTCTTCAGGAAATCAATTCTAAAACACTTCTCATCTGTTTTCCGGGTGGGTCACTGGTCTTTTCCCTTATCAATTTGCCAGCAGCCCTATTTGAACAGCATAGATATTAAGTCTTTACTGTTCTATTAACTGAAATATTTGTCCTCAATCTGTCATTTGTCTTTTAACTTTTTAATGGCATCTTTTGCCATATCACACTTAAAACATACCATTCTTATCATGTATTAATGGCTCTCTGTATGAAGCTATATAATTCCAGAGTCTCTATCTTATTCCACTAATTTGTGAGACTATTCTGATGGCAAAGCCATTGTTTTGATTATAGTGGGAAAAAATACCTTTTTTAAACCGAAGCTGAGCCATGTCGTAGCGACCATAATCTCGCAGAAGCATTATCCCCCCGGGCTTCAGAAGCCTGCTCAGCCTGTTGATAGCATTCTGCATCCTGAAGGGCAGCAGGGAACGAAGATCAGATCTCTTTAAGAACAGAGTCCCCTCCTAACACCCCTCACAAAAAAGAACAGGTCCCTTGTCTCTGTATTGTATTCGGAAAAGCCAGTGGACTTCCTAACGCTGATACATCACCCCTGAAATCTTAGCTCCTATGCTCTTGTTTCAGTTATAACCTGAGCTCATGCCCAAACCTTTGATGTACCTTCTGCTGTTTGCTTACAACCATGGCTTCTATCCACTGCCTTCAGCATGAAGAGGCCTGCTCCTGAGTAGGGATCCACCCTGGCGGAAGCTACATGCTGTCTGCCTGGCTCACTTCCCACTCCTCAGGGGGAAGCCATCCCCACACTGGGCTCCCATGGATCTCTGAGAGGACTCCTGACCACCCAGCGAGGGGACTGCTAGTTAACCCACCCTACCTGCCCACGAGGCCCACGATCTCTGAATGCAGCCTGTCTCTTTCCACCTGTTACATGAGGACTGAATCTCAAGAACTTTACCAGGTGACACAATCTGTATGCAAATGAGTACTCTGGGCAGAGTGTTCTACACTTCTGACTGCATTTTCCATATATAGTGTCTCAGTGTAGGTTTCAGCTTTAACTACTGAAAAAGTATAAATGCTTTGAACTTACAAAAACCACATGAAAGTCTATTTAAATACTGAATAATGAATTTATTTTGAATAATGTTTTTAATTTTAATGTTTTGTTTCAGTCCATGTCAGTTTAAAACTCGGTGGCTTCCTTGGTGGGTCAGCAGTGAAGAATCCGCCTGCCAGTGCACGAGACATGGGTTTGATCCCTGGTTCGGGAAGGTCCACATGCCGTGAAGCATCCAAGCCCACGCACCACAACTACTCAGTCTGTGCTCTAAAACCCATGTTCTGCAACCAGAGAAGTCACTGCAATTAGAAGCCCGTATACGCAACTGCAGAGTAGTCCCTGCTCTGCGGAACGAGCAGCAGCGAAGACCCAGTGCAGCCAATATGTAAGTAAATGAAACTATATACAGTTTACAGCATGTAAGCTGCTGCAATTAATGTTTAAAACCATGCCAGGCTGTTTGGGCTGTCCTCCATCTGCCCTTATTTCACACACAATATTCCTATCAGGTCAAGTGACACAGTGCTATCCTAGAGGAAATGTGGGCTAGAGAAAATCAATCACACCCCACCCCGCAAAGCACCCCTACTGATGCCGCTTCCTCGAGACAGTATTTCAACTTCATTGGGATGACCGGCTGCCTATGTCCAGAAGCCTTTAATGGTATCTTTTAAGGCAAACCAATCCACTTTCCTTTAATCTTGATTTTATGAAATTCTTTCTTACTAGAGAAGTTTTCCAAAGAACTTAAATATCAGAGAACCCTTGATGAGTTAAGTTTCACTGTGTATTTTGTGCTGATAATAAGCCTGGTTTATTTAAAGCATTTAAAAAGCCAATAATGGGATGTTCTTGAATAGCTGTGGCATTCACAGTTCTAAGGTATCAGGCTACGTGATCATCAACAGGAAATTTCACTACATACCCACTAAGATGACTCCCTCATTCTTTGGAGATGTTAAACCATTATCATAAGAAGAACCGACCACTGCAGTCAACAGGCAGAGGTTTAGACGCTTGGAGTCCAACGTGGACTCTAAAACAAACTTAGGAAAGTAGTTGAGAAGCTTCTATCACTTATAATGAAATGTAGCTTTTTCCTGTCTATCAGAACATTAATAAAATCCTTTTTATTAAGGTTCCAACTCTGAGATCAAGGTCCCTGATTAAAGCTTTGTTTTTGCTATGCTACTAGTCAAGGGACTTAAAACTTACTTGTCTGGAATGATTGCTGAGAGAACAAATATAAGGATGATAACATCAAGACTATTCTCAGGCATTGGGTAACTCTTATCTTCATCACACAGATCATGAACAAAGGCAAAACACCGAGAAGGGTCATATGCTGAATTTGTCTGCAGAGATGGAAGAGAGGTTAGAAAATGTTCATATAGCCTCAAGAAAAACCATCTTGCTTTAAACATAATCCCTGCTGCTTCCCACTGAGGGAGATAGCTTTAGCCATTACAGGAAACACTGTTACTCTTAGGGTAAGAAGCAGGAACAACTCCAAGAGCCTGTGGAATCTAACTTGTATGCTTAAAATGGTACATTCCTGACTGCTTTACTTCTAGTCTTTATTCTGATGAGGAGTCAGATCTGAGAACTGGAAAAAAATGAGGACAGTAAGTGACCAAAAGAGCAAAGAGAAACCTCATAAGTAGGAAAACAAAACATACTGAAAAAGCATGATTTAAAGCAACTCCCACTACAGCATATTACACAGATCATAGAATTCTCCAGGAAAATCTCTCTCTCCAGGATGTGGAAGATTTAACCTACAATTTATTATCATTACACTAATTTTTAAGTCTCACTATTCATCTGGTATAGGCCCTTAAGAACAGTTTCAGAATTAACATACCCTGGTGGTCCAGGGGTTAGAACTCGGCACTTCTACTACCAGGGACCCAGGTCTGATCCCTGGTCATGAAACTTAGACTCCGCAAATCGAGTGGCAAGACTTGAAATATTAAAAAGCACAACCAGGGGCCTTCCCTGGTGGTCCAGTGGCTAAGACTCTGCAATCCCAGGGCAGAGAATCCAGGTCTGATCCCTGGTCATGAAACTTAGACTCCGCAAATCGAGTGGCAAGACTAAAAAAAAAAAAAAAGCCAACCAGAAATATTACCAATCCCTGAGCTCCTATGCTAGGAGCATCATACATGATTGTAACACATGTTTTAGGGTAACTTCCCTATCTACATCTCTCTTCTCCAAAAATGTGATTTTGTTCCTCACTGCTGCTGCTGCTAAGTCACTTTAGTAATGTCCGACTCTGTGCGACCCCATAGACGGCAGCCCACCAGGCTCCTCAGTCCCTGGCATTCTCCAGGCAAGAACACTGGAGTGGTTGCCATTTCCTTCTCCAATGCATGAAAGTGAAAAATGAAAGTGAAATCACTCAGTCGCAGTCAACTCTTCAAGACCCCATGGACTGCAGCCCACCAGCCTCCTCCGTCCATGGCTTTTCCAGGCAAGAGTACTGGAGTGGGGTGCCAGTGCCTTTTCCATGTTCCTCACTGGTCACAGCTAATTAACAGGGCAAGCAGATGGTCAGCTGAGCTGAGTCAATCAGACTTTCTGGAGACTCTGGAATCAAGACACTGTCATTCAGGTGAGGTTCTGGGAATACCCGAAGAGGGGAGGCTTATAAGGGACTGAGAGGGGCAAGTATATTAGGCCATGTATAAAACCAGGAAGGGACTGAGAGGGGCAAGTATATTAGGCCATGTATAAAACCAGGAAAAACCTATCAGAGAAAACCGGGCTGCAAAGAAAAAAAGCAAGCAAAAGGCAAATGGGCAATGAGAGGGAAAACACCATGACCTTGAGGGAGGCGCTGTGACGGAAGAAAGGGGTGGCAGCATCTCACCAGTGTGTCTTTGGTACCTGACACTTTGTCAGCACTGAGTTTTAGTCCTGGCTACACCACATGCCCTTCAGATCTATGACATTCCCTTTAATCAGCTGCGTTTATCTACAAATTTCTGTAACTTGTAACTCAATCCTAAATGAAACAATCATTTCATTTCAATCCTTAAAACATGACTTTCAGAAGGTCAAGAGACCTGCCCAAAGTTCCACAGCAGGAAAGCATCAGGTTCCATCATCATGTTTGGCCAATTCCTCTACTCCAGGCTATTTCAGACCACAGCACAATAAGCAAATAGAGACCCTGATTTTTATGAGGCCCTTTTCCCCTTAAGTCAGTGAAAATTACTGATAGGAGCACTGGACTTACCTTGACAAGTTCTACAGCTGTGGAAGAAAAATCACAGCAGTAAACAAAGAGGCTTGGATCACTGAAATGGGCAAGAAAAAAACCACAGCAGAGGAATTAGATTACAAACTGGATTATGTCTATTCTCTTTACTATGCAGCAGAGTTAAAATATCAAAGGCACCACATGTTAACAAAGTAACAAGTTTAACATTCACTACTTTCCTTGACCACAGAGATAACTTCTAAGTCAATTAAGTCAAAACAATCCATAAATGGATAATGTAGACATCTAATCTCCTGTAACCCACAGTTCCCAATAATTGCTGTTACCATTTGAATAGAATTAGAGTTCCAAGAAACAACAATGCACCACTTTTTTCTTTGCTGACATGCTGTTAAACTTTACAACAAACCTTACTTGTTAGTTTGTAGAATTGGGAAGACTGTGTTTCCCACACCACAACCAACCTGTAGACAGAAATCAGAAATGAATTATTAATCACAGAATTCTCAAAGAATTAATTCCCTAAAGTAAATAGATAATCAACAATAGACAATCTGTCTTACTGTATTAGGAAAGGTGTAGAGACCAGAGCTAGAGTAATCATGACATTCCCTGCCCGTGACCTCAGGAACCCTTAAAGAGGTAGCCACAGTAGATGAGAATATGGGCTTTTATTAGCAGGATGGGACCTGGTCTGGGAAAAAGAGCACAGGCTGCTTTTACTTTTTGAGTTTGGGCAAATGGTCCTGTAAACAGAGTATTTTCTTACTGAGCTCCACTATACCATTACTGGAAACACGTTTCTAGTAGACTGGATTGAAAAAGTCATGAGGGGAACCACGGCAACACTGTCCTAAATTCAGTGCTGGATGTGGTAATAACGAAAATAGCACCATTTACTAAGAGCTTACTCTGTGTCAGACGCTATCCTCAGCCATTATATATACATTATCTCAATTAACCCTAGTAATAGCTATGAGGCAGAAGTCCCATTCCGCTTGGGGAGGATAAGGGACTAGCACAAAGTCATGCCAGAGGACTCAGTCCCAAAACTAATCAGCTTCTGGTGGAGTGTGTAGTCACTTTTGTGAATATTCATTTTACAGTGCACACTTTTCTTTTTCAGGTCTAGCCGAGCCTCTACCACACATCCAGACTGAGAAGACAAGAACTCTCCCACACCTGAAAAGCAGGCATCATCCTAACTAACCTCTCCATCTCATAACTGTATCAGAAGTAACAGAAGCTGTCTTCTGACCTGGGACTCTCTGCTAGACGGCAGGTATAGCAGGACACTATAACTTTTGGACAGAATATAATGTTCCCAGGTAGCACTTCAGGTGATCTATCTTTGTTCGTCATGACCAAGACAGCTGGTCTGCATCGAGGACATTTCAATAGCGCAAAAATGCAGGTGATTCCAGGCCAACATAAAAGGGGTAAGTCTAGTCAACTTCATCATCAGAAGTTACTTTGGGGCTCAGCCTCTCTACTGCCACCCTCTGTGCATAAGACAGACTCGCTAACCCCACTGCCAGGACAATAAAGGGAGGTTACCTCGAGTATTCGGTAGGTTGCTGAGGATCCAGGAAACTCATTAGCACAGACTTCCAGGTGACGGAGTTTCTGAGTTACACTCTCTTCCATAAGAGGTGGCTGTGTCTTATCTTCAAGGCTAACAGAAGAACAACTGTGCTGTTCTTCCATTATTAAATCAGATCCATCCTCACCACTTCTACAGTATTCATATACTTCACTCCTCTTATTCTCTGAGAGCAAACTCTTCAAGTGATTTTGGCTAGGTGCCAGCTCTGGGAATTCAGTAAAAAGCCAATGTCTATCCTTGAAAAACCCATTTTCATGGATTTTGTAGAAGTCGTTCCAGTATTTGTCGGCATTGATCTCATAATCAACTGTAAATATTTAAGAAAGAATTTTAAGAACCATCTCTCAATTTTATTTGTATACAATATAAATTATCACCCTGCTTCACCAAATTTTATACAAAAAGTTATACTCAAGTAGAGCCTCAGTCTCAGAGCCGGTGGTCATTTCGTCCTATCACACTTGAATTTGCTCTGTATCTTGTCCTTCCAGGGAGTTAAACTTCTGCCAGAAAACTTACTACCTATCAATTCTCCTCCCACATCTTTAGATGGCTCTTAGTGGCTCAGAGGTTAAAGCGTCTGCCTGCAATGCAGGAGACCTGGGTTCAATCCCTGGGTTGGGAAGATCCCCTGGAGAAGGAAATGCCCACTCCAGTATTCTTGCCTGCAGAGTTCCATGGACAGAGGAGCCTGGTGGGCTACAGCCCACAGGGTCGCGAAGAGTTGGACACGACTGAGCTACTTCACTTTCACTTTCAATATTAAGCAAAAAACCTGTCTAATCATTTATGGTCAAAAGGCCGTACTATCTCTCAGGGCCATACAGAACAGCTCTTTCATATTTGAGAGCAATTATTTCCCTTTCTAAAACCTCTTTTACAAGCTAAATGTCCCAGGTTCTTCAGTTATTCCCCATGTGAAGTCAATGGTTATGATACAGGTATGATACTGTATCTTCTTTACATTATATTCCTATATCTGTGGTTCTTTAGTGTGGAGCCCAGAAATGAATTCACTACTAACAGATACTAAGCATGGAAATAGAAAATGATGACAAGAGGAAAAGTGTTCAGATGAGAGGAGATCTGATGATAGAGGACAGTATAGACTAAAGTGTGTACAATTTGAAAGAAAACTGTCTTGTTCAAGGTGATCAAGGCAGTCCTAGATTTCAGTTTTACTTATTTATTTTTGAGAAAACACTGGCTTATAACTAGATTTTAGCTTTCTGCTCTTTGCCAATAAAGGGCCTTGACTAGTGTAGTAGAAGAATAAAAACCTAAGAAATTGGATCTCAATTCCACCGCTACTAACTAAACTGCTTACCTCTGGGCAAGGCACTTAATGTCTTGAAGTCCAAGTTTCTTTAACTGTAAAAAGAGGATATTGGACTATATGATTTTCAAAATCCCTCTCCACCTTAATTTGCTTTGATGTAGTCTTTGTCAAACTATGTAAGGTTAATATTTCATAACTGGACTCTTCTACTTGTTCAGAACTATTTCAGTGGGTACGACTCTGCAATTTCTAGTGCCACCTTCAACTGTCACTTAGAACACAGGCCCAACCAGTCCTGGTTTTATTAACTAGGGGTATTTTTCAGTGAAATCATCCACCTCTTCAGAAGAGGCCTTTTTCTTTGGCCAGACTTATTTCCACTCTGATTCATCCATCTTTCCTTTGCAGAAGACTTACCACCTCATAGTCAACACACAAGGAAAAGACACATAACTCACGATTAATTAGCCAGCCGCCCCCCCACCCCCCATTATTTAGAATCTGACCACTTGAATCCAGCTGTAATGGCAACATTTCCTCGGGCAAAATGTAATGATATACAAAGTATACCCTCTAAGACAATCATGCTGCCACAGCCAGTCATACTGATACAGGTCTAGTCAACATAATTTAAGACTTAAGTCACTAGAAAATGCTATTGAGATACAGCTATCCTCTTCCAAACAAAAAAGCAAAACCAAAACACCCTTTATACCCTAACAAGATGTCAAGGCACAGCCCTTCCCCAATCCCTCCCCTTCTCGTTCTATCCGAGCTCTGTTTCAGACCAGTAACAAAGACTCTCGGGGCCTCGGTTCTCCGGCCTCTCCGGAGAGCACGTCCAGCAGTACCAGGCTGTCAATACCACTGAGGGTCCACCTGGGCGCACCTTGCTTCTCCTGGCACACCCGCTGAGTGCTGTTCTCCTGGACTTTCCTCTCTGCCTCCGCGGCCTGCTCCTCCGACCACTCCACGTTGTCCCTGGGAAAATTAAATGGGTAGCTTAGGCGCCTCAGGTTTTCGCCGCGGGCAGGGAGTCGCTGGCCCCGCAGCGCCTCTTCCATGGGAGGAGAGCGCTAAGAGTAGGCCCGCAGAGTGCTCTGCGGCGCTGGGAATGAGGGCGAACCGCAGGCCGGGCGAAGGGTAGGGCACTTACCAGGCATTGTGGTGAAAGACGCGAGCGGGGTCGCTCAGAAACCGGCTCCCGAACTGCCGCCTCTTCCCGCAGAGAGCAGCAGGATCGCCTTCAGCGAAGGAGCCGTCCATGACACCGGAACCGGAAACACCTACTCTCCCCTCACGCGCGAACGTTCTACAGGCCACACCCCTTTCGGAAATCGCGGGGTCTGGGCGGGAAAACGCGGAGGCCGGGTGGGGCAGCTGTGAAGTTCCCTGTCGCGGCGGCTGTCGGCCTCTGCCTGCTGGGACGGACCTATTTGGGAAAGAGAGTCAGCGGGTTTTCACCCCAGAGTCTTTAGTCCTTCAACAGGCGAGCGAGAAAGTGGTAGACGTTCGACTTGAGCCTCCTTTTAATTCTAGGATGCTCTAACAGGTTCTCAGTTTCTCTTAAGTTGTAAGACAGGAAAAATTTTAAATCACTTTAATAATTAAATAATTACCTAGCTCTACTGTAGAGCAATGGCCGAAATAATTGAGAAAAATAGAAAGCAGGGTGAGGAAATAGGGCAGTTTTCCAGATTTTCACAGTGTGAAAAAGGAGAGAGAAAAGTGTGTGTGGTGTGTATCCCCACACTGTTTTTCTGGAGAAAGATATGAAATGAATTTCGAGAACACGAAGTTTAACTGTCAAATCAATATCCAAGGACAAGTTTAAAAGTGTAACCCCACCACCTAACTTTTTGAATTATTCATAGGAAAGCTTATTTGCACAATCAGAATTGTAATACATATATATAGTTATATTAATACATTTTCAGCCTTACATTTGTTTCTATAATTGCTGCAAACGTACAAAAGAAGACAGTATGCTGTCAATATAAGATAAAGTTAATTGAGAAGATTTCCAGAAGAGGGATGACTATCATTTGGAAGAAGAGAAGGGATTAATTATTTAAGTAATATAGTTCTAGGTTTAACACACTGGTAACTAGTGATAGCTTGTTGCTGAATCTTTCCATGGTGGTGGTGGTGGTTTAGTCGCTAAGTCATGTCTCACTCTTTTGCAACCACATGGGCAGTAGCCCACCAGGCTCCTCTGTCAGTGGGATTTTCCAGGCAAGAATACTGGAGTGGGTAGCCATTCCCTTTTCCAAGGGATCTTCCCCATCCACGGATTGAACCTGAGTCTGCATTGCAGGAGGATTCTTTACCAACTGAGCCACCAGGGAAACCCAAGTCTTTCCATAGGCAAAACCAAAGGGAGCGATGATTCTATAACTTTCCCACCAAAAAAAAAGGAAACAAACCCTAAATCACAAAGAAAAAGACAGGAGTGAATAAAAAAAGGTAAGATAGTAAAGAACTTGTAGTTTATTTGAAAACAGCATTGTTTTGCCATTCTCATGGTCTTTTGAAACATTTTGAACAAAAGCTCCTTTCCAAAAAGCAAGTAGAAGAATTTTTATCTTTTCTCAAGGTCAGTTGTTTGTAAATAAGGTAGTTGGTTCATATTTATTCTTGATATCTTGTTCTGTCATCTACGGGTTTCTTTCTTTTCTCTCCCCACACCGAAAGATTTGTGGTGCCAATCGACAGTCCTATTGCATATTTTCTTCCAGATAGCTCACTCTGTCTTCACTGGAAGTTACTTGCTGTATTAGTTCCAATTAGTCACTTAAAGTGTCAAACAAGTTGGGCCTTTAAATAAGATGTGATAGAGTATCTTAATTTTAACTTTTATACAATTATCTTTAGTTGGCCTGTAAAACTCATTTTTCTCCATCTTTTGAAGTACCCACAATAATATTTCAGACGGAATTTGGAAGGCTTGTCTGTCAATCCTTCATGGTATCAGACTGTAGACTCAGCAAGAACTACCTTTCAGAGGAGCTAAGGGTCCCTCTGCTGGTGAGTAATGAGAATTCTCCCAGCTCAGTGGGTGGCCGGGGTTCAAAGCTGCGAAAGGTTGAGAAATTTCATTCTGTATTATGGCCTTGAGTGTTAACCCTGGACTGAGGTAGTTAATTGTTTCAGGCTTTTCTTTCACTTCCAATCAGTGGAAGGTTCTGGGCTGTGTAAGCATGTGCTCTGGAACTGAAGACTGGTGAAGGGATCCTACTGTCCTAATTTGCTCTCTTTAACGTTTCATTGACCCTGGACAACCTTCGTATCTGTCCTATATATTGAATAAGTTGCTTTAACAATGTTAAATTTAAAACAGCTTTTGTGATTGTTTTCCTTATTGCAAATAAATTACTGTAGAACATTTAGAAGATAAGGCAAAAGAAGAAAAGAAAATATCATACCCCATCCTTAGTTTAGCCCATTAGACACTCTTTGATTTATATCCTTCCAGTGTTTCTTGTTTATAGAAATAATTTTTAAGTTAAATAGTTTTAGAACAAATTACTTTGTGCCCCTCCCTGATTTTTTACAGTTCCATTGAGGTAAAATGGACATACAATTAAATTCATCCATTTAAAATGTACAGGTTAATGAGTTTTCATAAAAATATGTATTTGTGCAACACCATCATAGTTAGGGGCTTCCCTGGTGGCTAACATGGTAGAGTCTGCCTACAATGCTGGAGACCTGGGTTCAATCATAATTAAGTTTTAGAACAACTCCATAAAGTTCTTTCATTCCTTTTAGGAGCTGTAGTCTGCTTTGCAGTTGTGAATATTATTCTTTTATTTGAAGTATCTTTTACAACATCATTTTAATGACCCTGGTATTGTTTCGTATAGTTATACCATGATGTACTGGACAATTAGGCCACTTTGTTTCTTAGTTTCTTTTTAGTAAAACATTCACCATAAGAAAAATCCTTATAACTAAATCATTTTGTACATCCATTATTATTTCTTTAGGATTAATTTCTAGAAGTGGAAGTGCTGAGTCAATGGTTATAATTAGCTCTGTTATGAAGCTCTGTGTTGTTCAGTTACCAAGTCATGTCTGACTCTTTGTGACCCCATGGACTGCAGCATGCCAGGCTTTCCTGTCCTTTGCTCTCTCCAGGAGTTGCTCAGACTCACATCCATTGATTTGGTGATGATGTCTAACCATCTCATCATCTGTTGCCCCCTTTTCCTGCCCTCAGTCTTTGGTCAGAGCATTTTATCTGTCTGTTCATGGTTACATATCTAGGTCTGAGAACAGGATCCAGCACATAGTATGCAACTCAGGAAATAACTGGTGAACGGGCTGAGTACCTGTTGCTATATTGCATTCCATCAGAGAGATGCCAACTTATGCTGTTGTCAACAGTGTGTGATAATTTAATAGAATGTATTTCTGTTAAGAATAATTTTAATAGAATGTATCCTAGATTTTCCAGGACAGATCTACTTAAAAATATTCTGTCCTGTTATCCCATTGATCCAAGGAAATATCCCAGGAATTCTAATATTTTGGCATCCAAATGAAATCTCTTAGGTTTTCCTGTTATACTCACACAGCCATACCAAATACAAAACCCCCCAAAACTCTTGTCAAACTGTAAGTTTTGTTTTTTGGATAGAAAATGTTATTTATTTTTGTCCCAATCATAAAAATTATAAAAAGTGGCAAATATTTTAGACAGTTTTGAATATTCAAGGTAACACAAAATTACTTCAGGCTTATTTCTTGAACAGTTTTGGGAGCCTTCGCTATCTTCATTACTTTTTCCTGGCATGTTATAATTTTACATTATAAGCCACTGTCTCCATCAGTGTGGAACATGTATTTCCCTTTTTCTAAAAGAGAAAAAGTAATGGATTATATACACTTAAGTATGTTAAAATAATAAATGTTATGGTATTTACATTTTTCCACAATAAAAAATTGCAACCCCTCACCAAGAAAGAGGGTATGAGATCAGCTGTTTTTCAGAGTAATCCAGGGGATCAGGATTAGGATCCTTAGGAAAACCCAGATCTAATCAAGTTTCCCTAGGGGATTGCAAAATTATTCCCTGAAACTGAAAGGTCATTGTCATCTGCTGCTTCTGGCCTCTTTCACAAACAAACAAACAAAAAAAGAATGCCACTTAAGTTACATAAACTCAGATGCTTATTGCTGAGAGGGCTGTTAGGAGGTCAGAGGGCAGCCCTGTGTTAAGTACCATCTTCGCTTTTATCCTTCCTGCTGAGGCTCAGGCAGCTTTGAGGTGCCCCAGGTGGGGGCAGCAGAGTGCAGCTGGTTGCTAGAGAAATCACCCCGAGGCATCTATTTACCAGTTAAGAATTAGGAAAGGAAACCATACTATGACTTAAACATTTTTACTGGTCAGAATTCAAAAGATGTCAACATTTCCAGCTGCTAAGGATGTATTAGACAAAAGCAAGAATAATTTTGATATCTATGAAAAAGTAGTTTGCGATGAGCTGTTCAGAAAACGTAGAAATTTCATTGTCGAAAGTCCTTGAAGCCTTTCCGTTTTCTTTTCCTTCCTGTGTCTGTGTCACATTCACTGATATCTGGAGAGGACGAGAATACAGAGTTGTGGAAGGCATTTCTGTTCACGTGGGCATCGTATAACTTTAGGTCCTTCGGGGAAAGTAATTCTTGGCAGACATTCCAGGACCATGTATAAGTAGAAAAGGTGTCATAAAAGGACTCATTTTTACTCTCTATTCCAATCAAATCTCCTCGAATCTTCCGCCAGAGGTTTAGCATTTGTTTCCGGTGCTCAAGGGCAATTCCCAAGTTATAGGTGTCTGTAGCTCTCTTTACCTGCAGTGAGAGAGAAGTAGTTCATAGTAGTTACCTCAAAATATCTTTGGTTTCTGGACTGCAATTCTAGATACCCCAAAGGTTATTTTTTCAAGGTTACTTGCAAGTCACTGAATTTATACATTAGGTAGTGCCTCTTGAGGACACATGAGTTAGGAGTTGATGGACAATGAAAATGTATTACTTAGGAGTAGTGAGATATTAAGAAATTTTATAAGAATTTAAAAACACGGTAGACTAAAACAAGGAGGAAATGTGGGATGGAGATGGGCTCTTAGTACAACAGAAGTGACAAGGATGGCACTCTGTCCAGCCTAGGGCAGGGAAGGAGAAGATGCTGAGCTAAGGAGGTCCACAAGAAAAATGAAATGAAAATAGTCATGTTCGACTGTTTGAGACCCCATGGACTGTAGCCCTCCAGGCTCCTCTGTCCATGGAATTCTCCAGGCCAGAATACTAGAGTGGGTAGCCGTTCCTTCTCTAGGAGATCTCCCGAACCCAGGGATCGAACCCAGGTCTCCAGCATTGCGGGCAGATTCTTTACTGTCTGATCCACCAGGGAAGCCCAGAGGTCCAGGTCCACAAGGATTTGATTAAATCTAGGGAGTAGGTGGCCATGGGAAAGTATTCCAGGGAGAGGAGATAGCATTACAAATGCCCCAAGGCAATTCCTCCCAGAGCTGGTAGGGGAGTCCAGGCCCTAGGGTATCACTAAAGAGTTAACTTTGAGGAGAGGCAAGTCAGGGGTTGTTGCCATAATCAAGCCCTAAGACTTGTTCTCAGTGAGGTTGCGGAGAGCGCTTTTGTCAGGGAAAGTCATGTTCTAGTGAGACACTTTTCTGTGGGAAGTGCAATGGGACCCTCAGTTGTGTGGAGCAGAAAATACAGTTGAAATACGCTGCCATTGCCGAGAGGGAAGCATTCATTTCTTAAGCAGGACAGTGACAGGTTGGATCTTCTTAGGACCCATTCTCCACAGCAGCTGTGTGGAGAACGGGTGCTGTGAGGAAGGGATAGCAGGTTGGAAGTTGTTGTCCAGGTAAAGCAGGGCTTCAGTTTAGGCAATAGCAATATGATGGAATGAAGGGGACAGATTTGAAAAATCTTTAGGAGAATGGGAGTAGCCAGATTTGGTGATTAGCAGATGTGGGGAGTGAGGAAAAAACATAACTTAAGGATGGTTGCCAAATTCAGACTTAAATTGAACAAAGTGGGGAAAACCACTACACCATTCAGGTATGACCTAAATCAAATCCCTTATGACTATACAGTGGAAGTGATAAATAGATTTAAGGGACTGGATCTGATAGACAGAGTGCCTGATGAACTATGGACGGAGGTTCATGACATTGTACAGGAGACAGGGATCAAGACCATCCCCAGAAAAAGCAATGTCAAAAAGTATATGGCTGTCTGAGGAGGCCTTACAAATAGCTGTGAAAAGAAGAGAAGCAAAAAGCAAAGGAGAAAAGGAAAGATATACCCATTTGAATGCAGAGTTTCAAAGAATAGCAAGGAGAGATAAGAAAGCCTTCCTCAGTGATCAATGCAAAGAAATAGAGGAAAACAATAGAATGGGAAAGACTAGAGATCTCTTCAAGAAAATTAGATTTACCAAGAGAACATTTCATGCAAAGGCGGGCTCAATAAAGGACAGAAATGGTATGGACCTAACAGAAGCAGAAGATATTTAGAAGAGGTGGTACACAGAAGAATTGTACAAAAAAGATCTTCATGACCCAGATAATCACAATGGTGTGATCACTCAC